TCCTCCTTTTCTCAGTATAGAATGCTCACTACACACATATATAAACACAGTCTCTGTTTCCCTTTATGTATACATACATGGCCCTGTGTATGCATGTGTTTCAACAGCAGAAGTCAGCAAAAGTCTTAAAGCATCATTTAAACCTGCAGCAGAAGTTGTGAATATATTTGTTTTAAAAGGCTAATAATAACCCAGGAGATGAAAATTCAGCTAAAGCTTGCATTGCCTTTTCAACTCCATCAGTGGTATAAGAGATGAGAGACAATGTTTCCTTAATCTCTTCCATCACTTCATGAAAGGAAATTTACATATAGTACTTTCAAATTCATCAGTGAACATTCACTGTAATATTTGCATTTCTGCAATTTGCATGCATGTGTGTTTGTGTACAGAACCTAAGCAAAACATATAAACTTATGGTCCAAATCCTGCAATCCCATATCTTCAAAATGACTGTTCCCTTTAATAAACATTACTCCTATTAGGAAGGGTTTACTGAATCAGGCCCTAACTGACTCCTGCATTTAGAATAGAAAATTTTCTCCTTCAGTACTGAGGGAATGATTCTAGTTTCAGTTACTCCACTGTGAAACAGGAGTCACTCCAAGGGACTCAAAGGAATTACACCAGCAACAGATCAGAATCAGGTTTTCGAACTTTCAAACTCTCTCAGACTAGATCAATTTTATTTTTAAAGTGGTTGTAAAAGCAGAAGCCGTACTTTAATAATTTTGAACCCAGTTCTACCATTCCTGCTGCATGAATAGCCTCACTGAATAAGAATAAGAATGGTACGAGCAGGCCCTAACTGTTGGGATATTGTTACTTCAGTGGTGTAACCCTGGATGTACACCAGTGAAACTCCAACTGTATTTTGCCCCCCTGCCTTCTCTCCATATCACACAGCAGCAAAAAAACTGTGGAACTGATTGTTCACTGCCTTGCACACCATGTACTCATTTGCTGTTGTGCAAAGAGAGTACATAGTGCATAATATGAGTGGAGAATTTAGGGTGCCCGGGTTTTCAGGTTCGTTTTGCAGGTGTAAAAGACTGGGCAGGATCCAAGCCAACAGAGAATTAGGCATGTTGCCATACTTGCTTAAAATCACATGCAAGATTTTAAAAAAGCTATTTAGTTGTCTCAGTAACCTCTGCAGAAGGGAAACTGTGCACAGAGTTCCTGAAAAATATCTACCCCGAGGGCATGTGTTTGTGTCATTCATTATGGAGGATGTTGGAGACATAGGGCTCATCTACACAAGGAGTTAGTGCACTCTGAGAGACAGCATCTTAGGGTGAGAACAGGCATTTGTAGGACCCCTCCCATGTTTAGGTGAATTAGTTTCAGTTGCCTAAATCTGAGTTGGAATTGCCGTGTGCAAATGTTTGCTGCTTGCCAGGAGGAGATACTGGGAGTTGGAGGTGAGTAAAGTGGGTGTGAGGGAGAGCTGGTGGATCTGGAGGGTGGTTTGTGGGTCTGCGGGTCTGTGGTAGGGGCTGCCTGGTCTGGGGGGGATGGACTCATCAGGGGGCAGGGGTAAAGATAGTCTGGCCAGGGTTGGGGGAGGGAGGTTAAAAATAGCATAGCCCTGGAGCTGAGTAGAATGGCTGTTTTGGAAATGTATGCAAGCGGTCATTTAGCTGGGTTAACCCCATGCAGATCTAAAGTTAGTTCTTGTTCAATTAAAACTAACTTTAGTTGGGGTGTGTCATTTTTTGGGTGTCCTAAGCCTTGCAAATTCTTACACACCGAAGCATTCAGATAGTCCTAAACTTGTATGTACCCACAGTACTCCATAGTAACACCCCATGTGGATGCTCCTGGTACATACTAAAAGCATCTACACTGTGTATTAGTAAGAAGTGGCTAGGGTGCTGTAAACTGTACCCTCTATTATAGTGCATTAACTACAACATGTAGTCAAGACCATTGCCCATTGACATAAAGACTCCTCAGGGAACAGAGGAGGAGCTCGATCCTATTGAGGGGCTGCCCAACTACACTGTAGTCCTGATCCTCCTCTTGGCATATAGCTTATAAGGGCCAATGCTGTTAATATTCTCCCACTCCTAGTTCCTCTATAAAGGAAGAATAGGGCAAAGATTCAGTGCTGCTTGGAGGGCTTTTCATGTGGCATCTTCACAGAATTTCTTCAGTAAACATGGAAGAAACTGAATTTTCATTTTAAGGAAAAGAATAAGCCACATGGATAACTTGTCCATGCCAAAGTACAAAAGCTTGATAACAGTACAGATCCAATGCCTGGAGTTTTGGAAATGAAAAAGCAAATTGTATGTATATGGTGCAGTGCAAATATAGATTTTTAAACAAACCTTATTCAAGGCCTCATGCATTTTAATGAAGTGTCTGTGTACAAAACATGTGTGGGAATGTGCATGTGAACCCACATTTGCATCAGCAATTATCTATTTTTATTTATAAATATGCCCATCTGGAGCTCTGGGTGCCTTACAACCATAATTAAATAGGTAGCTCAATAAAGCAATAAGACCAACTCCACTCCCAGAAAATTACCCCAAAACTCTGGGCAGCCCACTTACCCATATGAAGCCTAGAAAAACAGAAGAGTCTTGCAGTATGCTCTGAAGGTCACAAAATCTGTACTTTAGAGGATTAAGGTAG